CCCCAAAACCCCAAAACCCCTTCATCCAACTATATTTTGTAAAATAAATATTAAATTTAAATAACAGTTTAACATTACTAAGTTAGTAATAGTTATAGAAAAGCTTGTTTAAATTTAAGTATTTGTAATTAATTACACACTTGTATTTATATATTAAGCATGCAGGTGAATGCGTGTTTAATTTATCAATTCCTTCCACTCACTTACTAGTAGATTTCTTCAATTGATTCATATCGATTACTGTTAAAACTTTTTTTTATTTTCTTGTATTAACTTATTCATATTCTCAAGGATCTCCTCAATCTTTTAGTCCTCCTCGCACATCTTCCTAAGAATTGCCTCAGAAGTCATCAGCTAAGAGTTGCCTCCTTCTTAAGATAAGGACATAGCCATCCCACTGCTATCTAGACCTTTAACAGTATTTGCAGTGGATTGATTAGAGGTTTACATAGGATTTTTCTTCTATAGTGGCTGTGGCTAGCTTGACTTGAACTGTGGCTTAAACTCCCTTGGTTTATTGCTGTTTTGCTTATCTTTGTTTGATTGACCTTCGTTGCCATTTTACTTATTGAAGAATGATTCAACCTTATTATCAATTTCTAGGTTCTTGGGGAATGAGCTTGAGTTCTTTTAATCTGAATGCGATTGATTAGCTGCTGTGCTATCAGCTGATGCTCCTGGCTCTTACCCATCATTCTTCTAGCCGTTTTAAGAAGCATTTAGAAATTCTCTCATTTGAACTGAGTCAATGTTATATTGATTTTACTCATCGCAGCCATCTTGATTCTGCTGACTGCCCATCATTTAGTGGCCTCTAAGATAATTACCCTAAGAGTTAGGTTATATATTCTCATCATAGTACTGGTTATGATCTCCTTCTAGCCCACCATCCATGCACATATTCATGTTTAACTGATCCATATTCTCTTGAAAGTTAATAATCAGTTCATTTTCTTGAGAATGCAAAGGCATTGATCCATGATTCAAGTGCTACTGCTACTATTGTTGATGCTAATCGTAGTTATCTATTTCATCTGAGTTGTACATCTATCGCTTATTTCCCATCATATTACCCTGATTGCTGTAACCATTCATGTTGTTGCTGCTGTTAGAGTACCCACCTTACTTCTAAAGCATTTCTCGATTCTAACTATAGCATTCGAATCTGTTGTTATTCATATTCTAGTCATAGTTATTGCCAATGGTTTGGTTTCCACCATCCTCTTAGATGCATTACTAGAGCATGTCCATGTCACTGATAGCACTGATGATATCTTATTCGTTTTCTTAATCGTAGGTGAGTTTGTCTTTCAATTTCATATCTCTTTTCCGTGCATCAATTGGCTTTGATTGCTAGTTTAATGTGCCATCAGGATGAATTCTTTTATTATCATTAGGTTGACTCAATACTTGCAAATCAGTTGAGTTTTGTATCAGCTCAGGGAAACATACACTAAATGTGATATCATCAAGTGTTTCTTTGCCATATAGATACTGCACATTTAAGCTTTCATTGTCCTGATGATTCATCCCTCCTCCACTGTTGTTGTCTCTCCTTAGTGGCTAGTTCATTAAGTCTAGATTCCAGTGGATCTCAGTGAATATAATCGTGGATGATGCAGTCAGTGTCTGTGCCAGTGAACCAATGGTCATGCTAAGAATGGCTATTTTACATGACTTATTCTCTTAAAAGTCTCTGATACGCATTTGCCTTAGATCCTAGGAGGTGTTCTAGTCTAATTTGATGTAGCCATAGATCATATCGTTCTTATTTTTGCTTTCCTCGATGTATTACTAGACTATCTATTCGATTTCTTCCATTATATGCTGGTGGTAAGCCATGAATATGAACTTTTAGTCATCTATAAGTAAGTATGTTAATTAAATATGCATTACTGTCAATAATCAGGTTGAGATGCTTTTTAATGCCCTTAGATTTGGATTTGGCTGTAATTTGCAGCAGTCTGTTCAGCAGTTAATCGTCTTGGGATGAGGTCATCGGAGGAGCTAATTCATTGTGCTCAAAGTTTTATTAGCCACTAATGTTGAATAGATGATTGATCTCAGAGTGGCTGCCCTGTGTTTTGCTCTTGACAAGCTGTATAAGTCTTTAAAACTCACGTTCTATATTGTTAGCAAATTATGAACTTACTTTCTCTAATATCTCTGCCTAGCACCTATTTGATGGCTTTAATCTCTTAGAAATCTGGCTTGACTGGGAGTCTTTGCTTGATAACAGGAGGCATTTCCTTGCCCATAAATTGGCGTTTCTACCTTCTTAGGAGGATGTTGTTCTCCAAAGTTGAGTATAGCTCTCAACTATTCTGGCTTCCATAAAACTCGACACCTTTCGAGCCATCTTTTTAAAGACAATAGCGAGTTTAAAACTCTTGCTGGTTACTAAAGAGATCTGGTCTGACTATTCTAAGGTGAGGGAATAAGTCGTTTGGCCTCAAAAGCAGAGGGCCACTGGATAAGATTATTCGTCGATTCATTCTTTCAAGTGTTTGAGTAAGAGCTTAGCATTGCAAAGACTAGAATGATAATAATACTGACATTATCTTACATTTAGACTCTTGAATTCCTAGCACTCATCGATAATAGCAACTCTAATACCACGCTTTTACATCTAATTGCTGAACTTAGTGGCAACTTTGAAGCTTGCTATAAGAATCCCAGACTCGAAAATATTCTCAGCTCTTTTAACTATACTGATCTCGCTATTATTTATGCCTGGAATCCAATGCATTAATTAATCTCTCCAGAAGCCTTTCTATTATTGAATGATATCAAGAGTAACTTACAAGTTGGCTTGGGCATATTATCAGTAGAGGCCACTCATCCTGGTAAACTAGTGCCACTGACAAAGCTTAGAGAGTCTTGCCCATGCCCATCTCATCAAACAGTAGGAATCTACCTTGAAGCTTGATTCCTTCGATGATCCCTTATCTCTGATAGGGGTATAGTCTCTATAGTATTGTCTCAGGAAGACTGTTCAATGAATAAACTCTCTATAATTAAACATTTATTGAATCAGCACAGCTTACATTATCTGAGGATCCGTTTTCATATTGATTATCCTGCTGGTTCTCCCCTCTAAGCAGTTAGAGAACGAAGTTAGGGATGCCACTCAGCTCGACGTTCGCATTTTTAGGGTTAGATCTTACATACGAAGTGATCTAATCATAAACCTACTCGTATTCCTCGATTCTAATGTTCCAAATCTTCCTCTGACTATCGTAGTTAACCACATCTCTACCCTTTGACTTGAAGCCCTTGACTATGTTGACACAGCTAGCATCAAAGTACTTTTAGAATTTTATAGAAAAATAGTCTCTCTGACTGATTTCAAATTGGATCTTAGGAGTGAGTTCCTCTTATTACTAAGGTCTTTGACCTCCAGTTCAATTTTAATAGTTGTCTTAAAAGTTATTGTTGTTTGCTTAATTTGAGTTTTAGTTGTTATTCATGTGATTTTAATTGAAATTGTTAGAGTCTTGCTGTTGAGGTGGCATATTTTAGTTTTGATTGTATCCTGATTAGTTTGGCGCCGAGTTACCTGGCATATTCATGTTATTGTTGCTGAATCCATTATTAAATTAATCCTAAGGAGGCATGTTCTAGTTTTAGTAGTTGTTTTAACCATTATTCTATTGGTAATCATTAGGGCCTGCTCCTCCTGGCTTTTAATAATTGTTCTACCTTGGCTGGTAAGGTGGTCTATCCTAGCCTCCATTATTAAATCTGGGTTTGTTTTGATAGCCTCCTCCATTATTGTAGCCTGAGTTGGTCCCAGCCCCTCCATTCTCATTGTTGCAACTTTAAGAGTAATTGTTATTATTATTATTTTGATATTTAGACTACCAATTACCACCACCTTTATTGAAATTTCCAAATTTCTTGACTCCTCCTTAGTATTGTGGTTTAAATCCACTTCCTCCGCCTCCTCCATTATAGCCTCCTTCCCCTTTTGGCTAGAATCTCTATCCACCTCCACCACCTTGGTATTTCTAATAAGTGTTTCCACCTCCATAAGGCTTGTTATAAGATGGAGCGCCTCCTCCCCCTCCATTATTGTTAAAATTACTTCCTGGATTAGCAGCTACATTATTTTCAGTATTCTCTGCTCCAGCAGGTCCACCGCCTCCAGCATTCATATTTGAATTATTATTGTTATTGGCACCGAAGTTATCCCTCTTCTAAAAAGGAGCTTTTTAATAATTTCCTTTTTAATAGCCACCACCTCCGTTATAACTATTACCATTTTAGCCTCCTCCGCCACCTCCGCCATAAGAGTTATTCATTTAACCTCCGCCACCACCTCCACCGTTATTGTAAGAATTGTTGTTAAAGTTAGGGTTGCCACCTCCATTTTAGTTATTTCCGTAATTTTAATTACCACCACCTCCGTTGTACTGATTATTCGGCCGATATTACTGTTGGTTGTCTTTTTGGTAATGATTGTTGGACATAAAAGAAAAGATATTTAGTATTATGTATTAAATATATGCGCTATTTAAACACGCTTCACAACTATTATTATAATTAATATCAACTATTTTAACCAAATTTAGATTAGTTTGATTTTTGATATCTCCTAAATTTCAGATTATAAATTTTAAATCTAACTCAATTTTTGCCTATACTTAGAATCTAGGGGTTTTGGGGTTTTGGGG